GCAGGAATGTAGTCAGAAGCGGTGGGCTGCTTTGTGTTTTCTCCTAAGATCACCTGGACCCACCTCCAGCCCTTAGGTGTAAGGCAAAGCAGAATACATTTAGGGATGAAGTAAAAGTACTCAAGATGAAGCAGGTGCGGGAATGAAGGTAAGAGCATCAAGACTTCATTAGCACATGGTCAAGGCAAATGTGCACAGATAAGAATATGGGCTCATCCAAACATTCAGCCCTGTGGTAGAAAGAAGATATAATACCAGCAGGGATCTTGGTGGTGACAACCTTCAACATATCTATCTCTTGGGACATCATTTTCTGGTCTGGTTGTCCTCCATGTCCACTATGTAATGTCATCCTGGAAATTCCTTTCTTCCTACTGTCTTTCTCTTGTGGAGTTTTTGTTTCCAGTGGTCCCTTGAGCAAGTTTGACTGGGTAAAGAAATCATTTTTCTTTCAAATTTTGAAGGCATTGATCCACAGTCAACTTCTAGTGTTGCTGTTTGAAAAGACTAAATCCATTTCTTACTTTGTATCTCTGTTATCTTGTAAAAATCTCTCTGTTAGCAGTGCTTCACTATTTCATCATCAAGGCCTTGGTTTGTATCAGTTTTCATACATTGTGCAGTTGTATTCAGTGGGTTTTTTTTTTTTTTTTTTAGTGGAATCTCGGGTCATCAATTCTGGGCAGTTTCTTTATTTGGTTGATGATTTTTTTTTCTTTCTCCTTTCTCTCTAGGATTCTTGTGATCCAGATATTTTACCCATGGGACTGTTTCTCTGGTTTTCTCATCTTTTCTCTCCTGTTTTCTGTCTCTTTGTCTTTCTGGGAGATTTTCTCAACTTCACACTTCAACCCATCTGTCAGATTTTTTTTATTTCTGCTGTCATGTTTCCAAGAGTTCCCCTTGTTTCTGAATGGTCCTTTTGTGTTTTAATAGCATCCTCTTTATGTTTCACAAAGGCAGTATTTTCTCCTACCTCTGATAATATTAAGTTTTCTTTCCACACAGATTTTCTTCTATGTACCTTTTCTCCCTTCTATCTGTTTTGGTCACCATCTTTCCTATCAGAAGATTTCCTTGAGTATTTCATAACTCGAGGTTTTCTGCCTACATTTAAAAGTAGGGAACCAAAAACCTGTACTGGAAGTTCTGTGGCTCTTTTGGGGGCCTAACATCTATGAGTTGTGAGCTTCACGGTAGGATGATTGTGGCATCCCACTGTCATTATCTCTTTTTTTTTTTTTTTTTTTTTTTTTTTTTTTTTTTTTTTTTTTTTTTTTTTTTTTTTTTTTTTTTTTTTTTTTTACATCTTTATTGTGTCATTATCTCTTAAGTCTTTCTTCTCCCTTTAGTGTTGGTCAGGTTTGCAGAGAAAAGTTTTACTAATCTTTTGCTTATAGGTAAAGACCTTTGAGCCAGACGAGGGAAGAGGACTGGGACTTAGTACCCACCTCAGCAGTGCCTGGTGTTAGGCAGTCAAGAAACCTTCTATCCAGAAAATAAACCTCCATTTTTCTGTCAGCATAGGGTATAGATTAGTTATTCTTCCACAGAGAGTTGAAGTGGGGATCCAATTGCTTTTCAAAGACCTTCGATCAGCCTTCCTTGTTTTCAGCCTTTCCTTTCACTCTACCTTCTGGGGTGCCTTAGATCCTGAGCCTCTTAAGGACTTTGTGGCAGAAATCAGTCTGTCCCTGCCTCTGCCTCATGAGTTGGCCTTCTGAGGTTTTCCAAGTTCATTACCATTCATCCATTTCCAGCCTCCAAAACTCTTACTGTTATCTCCTTTCCCATTCTTCTCTGCTGGTGTGATGATGCCTGTAAAAACAAAATCAGTGTCATGAAGCTTAATTGGAAATTCAAGAAAGAACAAAATTATATGCACATGTTCAATTTGCATATAATCACTGATAAGTGGAATGACATGATATTTGAGTTTTAGGAAAGCTAGTGTCTGTTCCCATTTATATTTTTTGTTGTTGTTTTTCTTTTTAATACCTAATTACAGAGTTTTTTTCACTTGCTCATCCAAGTTCTTAACACATATATTATACATTTTTGACATTATTTCTCACAATTCTGATACCAGTTATTTTTTGGTTGTCAGTCTTTAATACTAGAAATATATAATAAAATTGTCAAGTCTAAGACCATTGTGATTTGATCAATGAACAGTAAAAACACAAATTCAGCCTAACTAGTAAAGGAAGAAAATCAATCTAAAACAATAATGAAATGCCTTATTTTACTTTTAGAATTTACAGAGATTTTTTTTTTTAAGTGGAAAAAAAACAATGTTGGTTTTGAGTATGGGAATGTTAATTTTTATGGATGGTTTTAAGAGTTTGGTAAAAGGATGATCGTTGCAATTTTGTTGTAAAATAACTTTCTTGTAATAGACAAATTTGAAAACCTAAATATTCAATAATAATTTTTTGTATATTCAATAATTTAATATTTAATATTAAGTTAATGATTTGATTATTGTTTAATTAATTATTACTGATAATTTAATTCCAATAATTTGTTGGGATTTATTAAACAGATTATGTAATTTTTACCATTATACCATTCTTTACCATTAAAGAATACTATTAATGGTATGAAGAGATATTTAGAATGGATTTGAAAGTAGATTCTGTGATAGTGTTATGAAAATTGAGTGTATATATGCATCTTTTAAAACACCTATATCTACAGCAAAAATATTAAGTGATTAGCTCTGAGTGGTAGGGATATAAGCAATTTTTTCTTTTTTGGTGTATCGGTATTTTATAAACTTACAATGAGAGTAGCCATTATGTAGAATAATTAGGGTAGAAAAGGGATTATTTGTTGAGTGAGCCTGTTATATTTACCCTAGAGAATACTCAGAGAAGAGGACGTACTAATTGCTTCAAATATTAGAATAGCTTTCCATTGAGATGGGATACTGTAAATAAATTATGGTTTTGGTTCTCAAACTTTGGCGTAGGCAAAAGTGTCCTTGGGTTCATCAGAGATTCTGACTTTATAAACAGGCACCCTATATAACTCTAATGGCGGTTGTCCATGGACCACATTTTGAAAACAAGGTAAAACTAAGTAAGATGTATAGTAGCCAGGAAAACGATTGATACAGAAGGCCTTCCTAACTGTCCAAAGGAGAAGCTCATGGTTTTAGCCTCTCCCTTCAGTAGGTATCTCCCCCAAGCTTCATAGTCAAATATTTAACTGCCTGCTAAACATCTCTACAAATTCAGATATCATATCAGTTCCATCATCCTCCACCACTGCCCCAACCATCCATAAGCTTCTTCTTGTGTTCTCTCTCTTTATGGCATAGTCTACTAATGCTCACCCAAACATGAAATATGTGGGTCGTCTTTGATTTCTGTCTCACCTCCTTCAATCAGTCATTCATAAAGCCCTTTCTGGTTTGCCTCCTGAATTTTCATTAAATCACTTCTCTCATTCCCATCCCTACCACAACTCATGCCTAATTTCTGGCCTTTATCATCTCACCCTTACTACTATATATAGACTTTCTCAGTTGGTCTCACCTCCACTTTTTTCTTCCTCTGAGATAAGTGTCTTTCACACTGCCACTAAATTAAAGTGATCTATCTGAAATGCAAGCGTCACCATGATATTCAGGAGTTCAAAAGCCCTTCAGTGCTTTTCCCAGTCTCACGGTAAAATGCAAGTTCTTTAACGTAACGTATGTAAGATTTTTCATGACTAGCCCATCTGGCCTCTGCCTACCTCTGTTATTGCATCTTTCCACACTTCCTACATCATATAGTAACACACTTACGTGCTCCAGTAGTACTGGCTGCTGGTCATCCCTCTTTGCCATTTACAGACACTGCTGTTTCTCTTTGCTTTTGCCATTGCTACCCTCTGCCTGGAATTCTGTGCCTCCCCCCTGCAAATCATAATAACGTGCCTTACTTGTATTCTTTATTTCAAATTCACATGCTTCCCTGGTAACTTCCCCTCCTCTTGGGTGGGGCGGGGTAGCTTTCCTCAGTGTGTCCATTCTTCCCTTTGCAAACCTCATTACTTCACTGAATTATATTTGTGTTCTTTTCCCCATTCCTTCATACAGATGCCTTAATAATTTCGTTTAGGGCAAGGACCTATGTCTTTCTCATTTCTGTAGTTTCAGTTCTAACATTGTTTCTGACACACATATCCGCAATAACTGTTTACCAAATGAACAAATAAAATTGCTACCCCTAAACGCATTCAAGCACAGGAACAGTAAATACCATCTGATAGACATGTATGACTTAAGAACCCTTCTAACCTGGGTGTTGAGTCATTAAATTTGCCGCCTTTGTGCCTCAGGAGAAAACTGGTTTCTCATATTCTTTCAGTTCTGCTCCCTTATTTCTTCAAGAGGAAAATAAATCCTTGAAATATCAATTGTTATCAGTTCAGTGGGTGGGGTGAGGATAGAAATTTTCAGTTTATAATATCTATTAACACTTTCTCATTAATGAAAGACATACTTGTAATTAGTTTACAAGAGATAAATATGCTGTATACTGTAAGATACGTGTTTGTTCTAGATTTAGTAGCTAAGTTTTGCCAAGTTTGGGAACAGTTTTAGAACATGGGTTATTTAACACATGATATTCTGAAGACTTATGTTTCTTCAAAGCTAGCATATCTCTTGACCTTGGGTAAGTGACTTAATCTCTTTGAGCACTTTATATTTCTGTCTCTAAAATGGAGATAACCCTTATTCTAACCAGTCTGATTTCTTCGAAGGGCAAAATGAGAAACAGTATGAAAGCAGGTGGGAAAATGTACGGCACTATACAAATAAAGTGGTATTTAGTGTTCAGAGGAAGTCTGTGTTATATATTTTGATGTTACATTAAAATAGTTTTTTGGTTTTTGTCATTTGGGAGGAGTTTAAAAGTAGGGGGCGTGGGAAGCATTTGTAGTCTTTCTTCAAAAAGAATATTAAGTTTAATGATTAGTTTCTTTCACACCAGTGGAATACTTAACCTAGCAGGAGGGTCATCCTTTTGCTGCCAAAAAGTTGTTTCTTACTAAACATGAGTACTCCCCAGGAGGTATCTGTGATGGTAATTTTTTTCCATGTTCAACACCATAGGTATCTATGCCAGCAGCTCATGCAACATCATCTGCTCCCACCGTAACTTTAGTACAGCTACCCAATGGGCAGACAGTTCAAGTCCATGGAGTTATTCAGGCGGCCCAGCCATCAGTTATTCAGTCTCCACAAGTCCAAACAGTTCAGGTATGTGTATAAAAAGTTCTGCATCTACTTTCATAACTGTTGTTTATAGCCATATCTCTCTCCTTTCATTATGAAAATAGGAACATATCTAGTTCAGAGTTTATTTTACTTTACAGTAATTATGGAATATGCTGCATCTGTATAGTCACCTTAAGTATAGGAACATATATACACAAGAACAGACATATAAGAAAAAACTTTTTCTTAAACTAAAAAAGGAAAAGAATTGAATGGGGAAAATCATAAAGTATATGGGATAAAGTGGAAATGTTGGGAGAGACTATAAGGCTGATGTACCTCAGGGAAAATTAAGATACAAAAATAATAACTTTGTAATTATTTTCTAAACATTGCAATTGGAAAAAATAACCCTTGTCAAAAAGTAATAACCTTACCTAAGATATTATTTGAATATAGAGAAAACCAGCTATGTTTAGGATTCTAAGTTAGAGTATATAACTTTGAAATGATATATCCAGAAAGTGCACTTTAAGAATCAGGGATTTTTTTCCATGCATGTTATCTTATTCTTTGGAAAGATTGTTCCTTTGGTTTGGATCCAAAGGGAATAAAGGCGTGTAAACCTCTACTTAACTGTAGGGAACCTAGGGCAGTATACATCTTTTCGATGAGCTTATTGGGGAAAAAAAAAGACTTGAACGTTCATTCAAGTAGGCCATAACCCCAGCCTCCCATTTCATATTTTTTGCTTCGCAGTCTTCCTGTAAGGACTTAAAAAGACTTTTCTCCGGAACTCAGGTGAGTCCTAGGTCCTAGATTTGGAGAGAACTATTTTTAGAAAGGAAGGTGAGAAATTATTCTTTATATCTTTGTCCCTCTTTATAAACATAGAACTCAAGGTTTGAATAAAAACCTTAAGAGATCTTCTAGGTCTAGGCCAAACTTGTTACCTACCCAGCCCTTAGTCTGTTGCTTAATTTCCCTATATAATATCCTTCTCTCCTCCTCCAAATGGCAGTCCAGCTTTACTTGAACACTTTCAGAGAAAGGACGCTCTGTCTCCAGAGGTAACTGATTTATAATTGGGGGTAATTGCTAAAATATTCTTCCCTGTGGTGAACCAGAATATCTTTCTAAAACTTTTACCTAGTGGTCCCAATTCTATTCTCAGAAACGAGTTAAGCAAATTTAACTCCTTTTTCTATTGGGCTGCTTCCTTTTCCCCATCTTCCACATCCTTCCCATTTAAAAAAAAAATGTCCAGACTAAGTAAATGCCTGTTTTTCTTCAGCCATTTATATATGACATAGCTTTGATTCCTCTTCACCATCCTTGTTGTCTTCTTGTGGGTGAGAACTGTTGTGTTTTCCTTGAGTTTAGTAGCCAGATTGATTGATACTTGGAGAGGGGAGAAGTCCCTCCTTTGTCCTAGAAGCATTCTATCAGTGTCATCAAAGGATATACCAGATTTTGTCAGCCATATCATACTATTGAGTCATTGAGCCACGGTTAACCCACCTCTGCTTCATTCTGTCCCTGTGCCTTTGGTTTGCTTGGACATTTAAGGCAGGGCGGTGTGGGGGGTGGAGAAAGAAAGAAAGAAAGAATATTTTGATATAAAATCATCAAGTTCTGTGCATTTCCATACTGAAAGATATTGGGAATGGAATTTGTTGTTACTTAGTAGGAGACAGTATAATCCAGGTAAAGACTGAAGAATTTGATTTTTCTATGGAACCACACTGACTGAACAATAGTCTTCTCTCCTGTGCCTCAGTTTTTATTTCATTGGATGCTTCCTAACTGTTTTTCATACTATGTATGCCATTACTAATTCCCTGCTCTTATCTTCCTCTTGATAATGGTGGAAAGAACCTGACCTGCTTGTCAGGAGACCTAGATTCCAGACCCTACATTAACCTTTACTTTTTCTTTTTCACTTACAGTGGGAGAGCTTTCTATAAAGAACACACAAAAATTATCACAAAATTTGCTAAGATTACAAACACTGGTTTTAATATATGATGCCTAATTGTTGATTATATTCTTAATTTTAATCTTTACTTTGTGGTAAGAGTAATAATAATAATTTGCACCTGGGGTTATATGACCCATTAACTTTATAGAAATGTGTATTCATCTTTTCAAAAATAGATTTTTCCATCAAAGTGAGCTGTGCTTATAATTAAAAGCCTGAATTCTACAAACAGAAACATAAACAGTATTTTTTTCTTTAAAGGCCCTAAACCATGGAGAAGCTATTAAACTTTAATGGTAATGTCAGCTGGTTAACAGTGATTAGCATTAATAAGTAGGAAGTGGTTTATATCAGAAGAGGTGATCAAACAAGGAGAGAGGTGATTCCTCAAACTTCTCGATGGGAGAATATTAGTATTCTAGAACAGCATTTCCAAAATATACAAGGTACATTTCTCTTGATGTGAGAATAAGACTTCTGTTTATCTTTTTTCATCTCAGAGTATTAGAAACTAAACTGTACTAATATTTCATGTATGGCTTGACATTGGTGCCCTAACATTATCCTTATGTATATATACACATCAAATCTCACAGATTATGTAAGAATTCCCACAAAAATAATGGGAGTTACACAAATGTATAGAAGTTAACAGTGGCATCCTCACTTTTCATTTGTTAGTTTTGGATGCATTTTTAATACATTCATTTCCTCAGTAAATTTTTAGTGATCACATGTTATGTGCCAGTCACTGTTCTAGGTGCTATGAAAGACAGCAGTGAACAAATAATACTTCTCTATTCTCATGAAGATCACATTTGAGCAAAGAGAGACAATGAAAAAATAAAATGTGTCAGGTGAGGATTAAGTGCTGGGAAGATGATTAAAGCAGGAGAAAGGGATAGAGAATGATGTGGAGGGAAGGGTGTTTTTTTTAGGTAGGGTGGTCAGGGAACACGATGAGCAGTGAAACTATAAACTAGTGAAGGAGGCTAAGCCATACAAATAATGAAAGCAAGTCCAAAGGCTCAGAAGTGAGAGTATGCTTTATGTACCAAAGAATAGCAAGAAGTGGCCTGAATAGAGTGAGCATGAGGGATAGCGGTTGGAGATGAACTTTCTGATACAGTCTTTACAGTACTTCAGGATGTGATGGGAACAACAATAAAAATCTTTTGTACAAGATAGAGATTCAGTGATTATCATATAGCAAAGTACTTGAGTTGCATAACATAAGGATGAGCTTACTTGTTTGCTTTTTACATAAGACAAGTATTCCAAAGTTTCCGATCTTTTTAACAATGGCAAGCAAGGGATGACTTGCAAGGGATATGTTACCTAACAGATATTTTTTGAAAGAAACAAATTCCTTTCAACTGTCCTTTCTGAGAGAAAGTGGCATTTTAACAATGCATGAGAGAATAACTGCATTTTGAAAGAAACTTGTGCTGTGGACAGAATATTTTGAATATAGAAGTTTGGAAATGTTCCCATACTTTTTTTTTTTTTAACCTGCAAACAATGTAAATTTGTCACCTAAAAACTCAAATCTATATACTTTCAAAACTCTGGACATAGAGTTTCTAAACTATTCAGAAGTCTTCTAGAGTTTCAGTAGGTGTTGAACTTATTTGTTAAAATATAAAACGTTTTATTAGCATATAATAACTGACCAAGAGCCAGGGAGATGAAAATATACTAGTAAATCTCATCAGAAGTTTGTGTAATTGACAGATGAAAATGAAAAATGATTGTTTTAAACAATAGCAGATGTTAAATCACATTTCAGAAAGTCCAAGCTTAGCATCAGATTTTTGAGTCACTGTTATAAAATACTAAATGATTTTTAATCATATTAAAGCACATCATTCTCACTGTTATGAAATATTAAATGATTTATCTTTAAGAAATTAACAGATGTATTTTAATATTTATACTTATCCTAACTCTTTAAAAATTAATTTGTTTTATGATATAGATAACACTTAAAACTTGTAAATAAATATATATGCTTATATAAAATTTTCTTATAATTAATTTATAATCTTATGATTAATTTATAAGGGAGATCTGCAGATCAAAAGAGTTTGGAGATTATTGCTCTAGACTTTTATTAAACTTCTTGATCCAGTGAGTAAAAAACTGTACCTAAACCTGAGTCTGAACTCTGCCCAAGAAAAGTGCTTAAGTTTCCAGGGTACCATGTATAGTTTGAGAAAACATCGAATACAACCATTTTTAAAATTTTGTTCTAGTCACTGTATATTTTATTTTGAAATTTCAAATATCAGAATAGGACTCCCCCCCCCCACCCATAAACAGAAGAGATGGGTTTTTAACAAACTAAGAGAAAGTAGAGAAATAGAGATGTAAAACTTTACATGTACAGGTGGTGGTTTGGCTTTTTGAAAATTTCTTAACATAATAAGTGGCCATGGTTAAAGACCTATTTAAGGAGCTCAGGAAGGGGTTAATAAGAGATGACAGGAGGTGAGGACCAGAGGAAGGGGCTCTGTCATTGAAATGTGATGGTAGACTGTGATGCTTACAATTGGGATATAATTTTTCATGTGGGTATTTTTAATAACCTATTACATATATATTAAACTATTATTTATTATCAAAGGATTTTTGGCATGATTTTTAATGGTCTTAGAAATGTGGGTTCAGTGGTTTGGGGATTTTCTTGTTTTTTCATTTGTTTTTGGTTTTGGGGGTGTGGGGTTGGGGTTGTATTGCTTTTTGGTAGATAGACCATAAGAGTTGACTTCCTAATTCTAAGTTCTCTCTGGATAGTATTCCCCCAAAGAGGAAATGTTACATTCATTATGTAGTATTGAATAGTTCTGAATTCCCTTTACATTTAACAAGTTGCAGTACATATCACTTATATGTGGAATCTTAAAAATACAAGAAACTAGTGAATATAACAAAAAAGAAAAAGACTCACAGATACAGAGAACAAACTAGTGGTTACCTGCGGGGAGGGGCAGTATAGGAGTAGGGGACTGAGAGGTACAAACTATTATGTATAAAATAAGCTACAAGAATACATTTTACAACACAGGGAATATAGGCAATATTTTATAATAACTGTAAGTGGAATATAGCCTTTAAAAATTGCGACTCACTGTACTGTACACCTGTAACTTATATAATAATGTACAACAATCATACTTCAATTTTTTTTTAAGTTGCCATCACGACAGAGTGATAAGTTAATTCCTTTTGTATGAATTGACAGATTCTTTCAGATGAGAGGAATGGGGGGCTTTTGGTTCTACTGGGAGCAATAGATCCATTGAGTTTGGGGGAAAAATTAAGGGCCATATATTTAATAAGCAATGATAATTTATTTCATTTCAAAATTGTCCTATGGGTGGTTTATGTAGCGTGCTTTAAAATTGTTGTTTTAATGACTTTCAACTTGGGAAAGTGTGCCTAAGTCATTATGTATCCTTAAAAGAAGGTTGTAAGAATGAGGGTTAAGCAAAAAAAAGGCAGAAAGAACAATAGAGAAACTAAGGTTCTGAGAAGCATTAAATGAGGGTAAACACTTGTCAAGATACTGTCCACTTTGAGTTCAGTCTTCTTCTTATTCCTCGAAATTCTGACTCTCTGCTAAGGCTGTTTCACAACTCATCACTCTACATCTATGAGAAAGTCTGTGCAGAGACTATGCTGAGTGGGCTAGTTAACAGCAGCTACAGATTAGTAGGAAATTGTTCTGGGTGCTCCTTTGGCAGTAACTATAGCATTATTACTCTATAGAGAATCACAGACTAAATTCAGCCTTGTCCATCTTTTTATCAGTCATTTCTCGATTCATTCAGTGTTACCTGTTAAGTTTTAGGTCTATAAGACTATAACGTTTATACTTTAAAGTGTTTGGAGGGGCACATACATTACTTTATTATAGACATATTTTGTAAAGCATTACTAGATTTAGCAAATTTAATTTTAAAGTGAGTGTCTATCACAAAGCTCTATGAAAATGAGCACCTGCTGTCCAGAACCCTTAGGCTCAGACCACATACTTGATTTCTCAAGTTCCTCTAAATGTGTTCATTCTTATTGCCATTGCCATAAATTTTGTTCGGGGAGCTAACCTACACAGACCCTTTTGCCTTGGCTAAATCTAATTCTCACTCTTACAGCATCATGCTCACCTAGCTCAGGAAAGAGCAGGAGGCTCCTGCTGATTAGGCTAGAGAAACTTGGCAGTATAAATTTGACAGACAAGCTTGCCTAGATGAGTGAACTTCTAGTCTAAAAATGGTCTAAAGACGTTCCTGGGTTGCTGCTTCTGACAAAACTGGTTTGAGATTGGAACCAACAGGATTCTGATGCTGGTAAGGATGTCTAGAATTGAGATGTCAAGTGTGACAGTGACTCCACTACTTCGTAGCTTTGTGACTTGGGTGAGTTACTTAAACTCTTTGTGCCTCAGTTCTTCCATCTGTAAAGTGGACATAATAATTGTACTTATCTAGCACGTAAAGTTCCTGTAAGTATTAGTGAGTACTAAGTAATGTAATATATGTATATGCTTTAGCATAGCACCTGGCACATAGTAAGTTCTCAATAAATGCTAGTTGCTGTTACTATCCCATGTAAAATCTGTATTCAACTTCCCTTTATTACTTCTCAATCCAAGGATACTTTCCAGAAATGCACAGTTCTTTACCTTGAAGTTTTGCTTAATAAAAATTGTAGAATGCCAACTTTGAAACGTGTCTATACATAGCAGAGGGCTTCTTCCAAAATTGCTAGGAACAACCATCTGGAACACGGTTGAAGGATCACCGATCTTACTTGTACAATTGTAAATATATTCAAAACTATTTACCCAGTAGTTAAAGGAAAATATTTGTATAGTCACTAGACTTAATGGCCAAATATTTAGTTGTTTATTCTTTCTTTCATGTCGGAAACTTAATTTTACTTGGTAGTTTTGTTCTAACAACTGTGAGAAAACAACTGACAAGTAATATTGATACATTCAGGGTTGATTACAAGAAGTCCTGAAAGAGATTAGGCTGGTTTTGACGAAAAAATTTTTAGGTCCTCTGACTTCTGTAGGATGAGTAAAGGGGAGAGGAAAGGGATGGTATGGTTGTCTCCCATAAAAACTGATTTGTTTTTCTACCGAAGCACATATAAGGTTTATATATGTCCTTTTGTATTTCACTTTTTCTTAAAATTCATAAAAGTTTTATGAGAACTAAATTTGATTATCAAGATAAAGTTCTTCTTTATTTTCAGATTTCAACTATTGCAGAAAGTGAAGATTCACAGGAGTCAGTGGATAGTGTAACCGATTCCCAAAAACGAAGAGAAATTCTTTCAAGGAGGCCTTCCTACAGGTATGGAAAATTAATAGTTAAAAGAACTTAGAATCGGAAGTATAAAGGTACCCTTATGTAGTTGGCAGATGAAGAGACGTCGGAAGGCCAATGAGCTGCTGGATTCAGGACCATACAGAGTACTTCTCTTCATCTTGAGTTGCTTCTCTCAAATAAGTAGAACCTTACTGTACAGAATAAGAGCACTTCTTACTCTCAACAGTCCTGGATAAACACTGATTTTTTTTTTTCTTCTGTTTTTGTAGACTTTGCTGGCTGCTGCTTTTCTGTTAAAAAGATTGGAATACATTTGATAAGGTTATAGCATTTTCTAGCTATATGTCAATTCTGAGGCTACACTACCTACTTCACAACACATTTCTTATGCCATGGTACTTAGCATGATAGCTGCTTGTTAATTTAATAGTTGCTCAGGGTGATGTTTTGCTGATGTTCCCTAATTTTAGGGGCACCTTACTGTAGTTTTGTGTTCAGCTACAAAAGTTGTGTAAATCCATGCCTTGCCTCCAAGATGGACCAAAACTGTTTATAATACTACGTAAAAATTGGCTACATATTAAATATCTCCAGGAAGAGCAATTCCACAAATCTTCATAAGCTTACTTCAGAGTTTAATAAACTTCAAACTTACTCTTCCCTGCTTTAGCCTGAATTATTTCTATTAATATATATTTCTGTTTTTCAAAGGGATGTTGAAATTTTTTTTCCCACTTTCTTGGCTGCTAAGCTAGCCCTTTTCTCTATCCTTACAAATAAATTAAGGACCCTAAATAAATACCTATAAATTGACTTTGAGGTCTTAAGAAAGTCTTTGTTACCAAGTATGTGTTACCTTTATTTATACTCATAATTTTTTCAAAATATAGCTAGTTTTCTCTTTTAACTTCAAAATATATCTCATGTTAGTATATAAGACATTTGATCCTGAAGCAGATTCAACCTGGTACTAAGAAACAAGCTACATGGCTTCTCTAAATATAAATTCTAGGCAAATCTTAGCTGTAGACCTTATATGACTTTTATGTTGAAAAAAAAAATCTTTTATTTGCCTTTAATTGGCTTATAGTGTATATCCCAGCAAAAATCATTATATAGCACTTCAGTTACGAATCGAAGAAAAGATGCCAGAGACCACACATGTGTAGAGAAAGCGTTAACTTTTATGAAAGTTGATAATATCTTCCCTTATAATCAAACCTCCATAGTGAAGTATACCATTATTTTGCTTTTGGTTTATGAACTCTTGAAACCTAGCCTCTATGTCTTGATTATAACAAGATCTTTAACAAAATTCTTAGGATGTTTTTGTGAAGTTGGAGAAATGGGAATTAAATAATACACACTGGTTTTTATTGGAATAGCCCAGCTTTATAGTGATCTGTTTTTACCCAGAGGAAATCCTTGAAGGGTTCTCACTTGCTCTCATCTGGCTTGGTATTTTTACCAGCAGTTTAGCTGAAAACATAAGAGGCCATGCTTATCAGATTTGCAAATGACAGAAACTAAAGGGCTAAGTACCCTAATAGGTGGTAGAAATAAGAACCTTGAAAGATCATAGCAGCCAAGGGAAATAGATTGAAACAAATAGGATGAAATGTTGGCGATAACTGTAAAATTTCTGAGCTTGAGTTTAAAATAAAATCGATTATTCAAGTATAGGATTCTGGATTAAGAATTCATCTAAAAAATATAATTATGCTCTTTTAATTATCATTGATTAGATGTGGTTGCCAAAAAAGCCAATACACTGTAAGGCTACGTTGGTTTAAAAAAAAAACCTAGTGTCTAGATTAAGGGAGGGAATTAATCCCACTGCTCAGACCACATTTGGAATACACTTTAAGAGAAAGTGAACTTTCTTAAGCAGAGAATGTCCAAGATGGTCTGGAGCAACAATTTGAAAAACTGGAAAAAAAGACTGAGAATGATTGCTGGCTTCGTGCAGAAGAGAAGTAGATTTATTTGTAGGTCTAGAAAAGTAGCTTTTAAACTTTTTTTAAACCACAATAAGGAATGTATCTTTACAGTTCTCTCTTTCTTCATTATATATAGGTGTGTATGTACACACACACGTATATACCTATATATAGGGATCTGAAGCAAAAATTAATACAAAGCAATACTCATCCTTATCATGTGTGATGCTTAGCTGTTTTTTATTTACTGTTTATGTTGGTTGCAACATGCTTAATTGTTTTCATGGCCCACATTAGGCATTATGACTTGAGTTTGAAAAACATTGCTCTAAAGACCAATACTGCTCAAAATATGGTCCACAGCCCAGACTGGTAAATCAGCATCTGGTTAGAAATGCAAATTCTCAGGCCCTTACGCCATACCTAATGAATTAGAATCTCTAGGGAGGGGACCCAGGAATCTGTCTGTGTTTTAACATGCTCTTCAAGAGCTGCTTTTGTATACTGAAGTTTGAAAAACAAGTGTTCTAGAACAGTGATACCCAAATCATGATGTATTGACCAGCTGTCAGTTCCCAAGCTGTTTAAAATAGTTTTGTGTCTTGTTTGCAAAGAGAGAAGAGAAAACCATCCTTACAGTAAAAATAGAAGTTTACTAAATAGGAACAGGCAGATGTGGAAAAGAATGAGTAAGAAATCTTACAAATGAGAAATACAATCAGGGGAATTATTTTTTTTTAAAAAAACAACTGTAAGAATATTTCCTACAGTACCAATAAAGGTAATTACATACATAAATATATAAAAGCCAGTATTATTATAGTTTTACTTTGTAACTCCTCTTTTTCGCCCATGATTTGAAAGGCAAATGCATAAAATAATAATTATAAATCTGTTAATGAACACACAAGGCATGAAGATGTAATTTGTTACAATAACTACATAAGGGGGAAATTTTTGGTAGACAGTTAAGGCTAAGTTTCAAACTGGTTTGTTAGAAATTTAGGGTTTCAAAAATTACTTGGGTTAGTATTTTTTTCCCCTCTTCTGTGATTATGTTATTCATTTGAAATGTGGTAAGATTCATTTCTTTTTGTTTGTTTTCCATTTTAGAATTCTTCCCCCATCCTTGTTGATAATTAATTTCTTTCTTTGAATATGTAAAACATTAACATGGTCCCAAAAGTCAGAATTGTACATATACACACACACGCACACACTCAGAAGTGTCCCTCCACCCATCCTTTTTTACTTCTTTCCCCCCCACCCCCAGTAGATAACTAATCAAATTGAACTCCATCTAGTTTATCCTTTCTGACTTTTTTTCTTGAGCAGATGAACAGATACACAAATAGTTTCTTACTTTCTTATTTCACCTTCATTCGTATACAGAAGGTACCATGCTATATCCATTATTTGGATGAGCCATAGTTTATTCAACCATTCTCCTATATGTGAGCGTGGAGATTGTTTCTAGTCTTTTGCAGTTGCAGTCGATGCTGCCATGATTAATCCTATGCATACTTATTTTGTACTGTTGGAAGTATATTTTAAGGGTAAATTCCTGGAAGTAAGATTGCTGTGTAAACACATTTGGTTTCCCAAATTCCCTCCATAAGGGTTGTGCCAGTTTTATACTTCTAACAGCAATGTACAAGAGCATGTATTTTCTCACAGCTTTGCTAACAGACTGTATTGTTATACTTTTTTAAATTTTTACCAATCTGAGAGTTGAGAAGTTAAAAATCAGGTTTTTGGTCTTTTTTTCCCCTCAGTTTTCAAGAGTTATTTGTATGTTAGGGATATTGGACCTTTATCTGTAATATATGTGAACATTTTCTCCTAGTATGTTTGATCATCTTTGACTTTATTTTTGCCATAAAAAAGGGTTTTTTTCCTGTAGTCAATTTTATTAATCTCTTCTTTAATTGCACCTGGATTTTGAATCATAGTCTTTCTTCATGTTCATTTTAAAGAGAAGTGCATCTGTGTTTTTTCTAGTCCTCATATGGTTTTGACATGTGCATCCCTGATACATTTTTTGTTTATTGTTGCAAATGTTATTGTTTATTATTGTAAATTTTTTAACTGTAAAATTTAAAAATTCTCTCTTAAGCACTATCAGCTTTCTGCCAGTTTTCTGATCTTTTCCTCTTCTTTGTATTTAGCCAGTAAATGTTACTTTTGTTTTAATTGATATAGTTCTCTATTTTTCTAGGAAAATTTTGAATGACTTATCTTCTGATGCACCAGGAGTGCCAAGGATTGAAGAAGAGAAGTCTGAAGAGGAGACTTCAGCACCTGCCATCACCACTGTAACGGTGCCAACTCCGATTTACCAAACTAGCAGTGGACAGTATAGTGAGTAATAGATATTTCTGTTTTGGAAAGTGCGATGAAAAACTAATGACTGCATTTTCCTTAAAGTAATCTTATAAGCGCCAGCTCTTCTCTAAATCTTGGTTGTCATTATTATATTTCCTTTACTTATATGCAAAGTTTTGTAACAGAAGTATTTTCTTTCCTTCAGGGTTTAGTTAGGATTGCTCAGGTATGTAAGACCTTTAAATGGCCCTTTGTTTTGTGCAGATGCATGGAGAGTCTTACAAGTTTTTCAAACCACTGCTTGAAACTCTGTATTTCAGTCCTCATATAGCATATGATGTTAATAGAAAACATGAGTTTTTCAGATAATCATCCTTTGATTATGTTTAAGGCCAAAAATGGTCTCATTATTCACCTATTTTAATAATTCATCTTTCTTTCTAAAAGTAGCATTTTTAAATCATATTGATGTTTCACGGTGGGGTGGAGAGGCTTGTTTGTAGTCTACCAGCACATTTAATTATTATTCCTTTTAAGATAAAAGGTAGTGTAGTGAATTACAATAATGTGAGCATAAGGACTGCTGAAATTAAGAGGGCACTTAGCTTTTTGTCGCACAGAAAGCAAAGATTTCTTTTGCAAAATTATCAAAGTTTCCATTTCTCTGATGTCTCTGACACTTAGGTCTCTCTTCTTATCTTTCACCTAAATCTGTTATAAAGAACTTTTCAGTTCTGCTTTTGTTTGATCAAAGGCATTTGTGTGAATGGTACCTTTTTCCTCTCTTCTCCCAATATCTTTTTGCCTCCCAAAGTGCCTCACACATTGATGTCTTCATTTTGATTTGTTCATTAAATCCAGTGCTTCCCATTATATAGTTTTCCTCCCTGTCTTCCTTAATTACAAAGTAAATGTACACATTGAAACTCTTGCTGCATTGGTTTTCTAATGCCCTGGGGTAGTCTGTGTCAGAAATATGTATAAAAGTTTGACTCCCAAGTTCATAGTTTTCCAGTTACAGCTCAGCCTTGGTTTGTATAACTAATTGCATTCCAACTGAATTAAAAACAAGTAGACTTTTTAGCTCAACCAAAGCTGAAACTTTTAATAGTAAGTAGAAGGCAGGCATTTCTGACTAAGCTTCTTGTCCATTCTGTAAGCTCATTAGAGTTCACTCATTCTTTTCCTTCTTAAGTTCTTTGTTGGCAGAAATAGATACTATCTATATATGTGTATGTGTGTATTTTTTAGCCTTACATCCAAATAATTTTGAGTTATTCAAGGTGTGTGTTCTAAGACCTTGATACGTGAACTTTTTTTTCTTCAACTTCAGCACGCTTGAGGGATACAGCATCCTCCTGTTAGTAACAGATTCACTCACCACAGCAGTTCTCACTTGAACTAGAAATAGAAAGCATGCTCTTTAGGAAAGAGGCATATCAAAATCTCAAATAGGGAAGTGAAGTTGAGGGAGGTGAAGCTGAGAAAAATAGATGTTTAATTTGGCAACTGACAGTTGCTAGTTTTAAAGGTTAATACTTTGAGATTTTAAAAGCTTTATACATTATCTTTATCCCTTATTCTCTCTGTATGTGCACATATGACCTTGATGGAACTGATTTAACATTATGTTCTTGATTGTCATTAAGAATCAGTATAACGACCACTTACATATACAATATTTATATGTTTCTTAACTTACAAAAGAAATGTATGGTTGTAAAAATTCAAATGGTAGAGGTTTTTAGTGTTAATAAAAAGTAAAAACCCTTTCCATCCCTCCCCATTAGAGTTTGATATATATCCTTCCATTCTTTTTCATTCTGTTTATACATACATGTGTCATGTATTTTTACACAAGTGAGACCTACATTATTTATATACCATAGACAGATATATGCATATATAGTTATGTATGCAGTTTCTTTTAATAGCTACATTGTGTTTCACTGTAAAATATAACATTTATTTAAAAATCACACACTGATGAATATTTAGGACATTTCTACTGTTTCAAACAATGCTACCTGAACATTCTTTTATATATATAGTATCCTGTCCTGTCAGTGGGGATAGCATCTAAAGAGTGGAATTGTTGAAGCCAAGCCAGCCTGCCCAATTACCCTTCCCACTGGCTACACCAATTCGTACTCCTTCAATACATTGGTTTTTTTTTTTAACTAATACTATTATTAGTTTTGTCCATTACTTGGTTCACAGTCCCTGATAATAAAGTCTTGTTTGAGAGATTTTATTCTTAGTTAGAAAAACATATTTTATTTCACTAACTGAAACTGTTTTCATTGTGGCTCCTCAGAATCTCAGCTGGGTTTGTTTAATTATACTTTTTCTAGATTTTGTGGTAGAATCGTTATATACACCTAAAGATATGTCAGTTGCTTGATTTCTGTCTTTTTCTTCTTGTTTTAATGAATTTAGTTTTATTGAAAGCTATCTTAAGTCCTTTTGGAATATGAAGTATATAAATAAATATTAAGAGAAAAACAATGTTTGATAGGCTCAGACTTGAGTTATTCAGAGTACTTTCATATATACATGATCTCATTTGATTTTTATAACAATTGTACTTAGTGGCTAGAACCAGATATTTTTATTTTTACAGAAGAGATAACAGATTCAAATAACAGTTTAGTGATGGAACTTGGACTAGAACCCAGATCTCCTGATTTCTAGTTTCCTTCTTTCCTCTCACCTTGAGTTCATTGGTATGTAGTCAAGAAGAAAGTTGTGTGCGTTGAATACAGTGGAATTTGCTTATTAACTCTATTTGAGAAATTGTGGTTTGATTCTGTTAACCTGATTCTTTCAAGTTATCCTGAAATATTAATCTCAGAATAGTTTTTACATATTCCTTTTTTTCTCCTTGTCTAAGATAAGTAAAATTTATGGGATTAGCTAAAGTGGGTAGATTGTATATGCCAGTATCTTAATTTCCACAAGTATTATTTACTAAACCAAATCACAGCCATTAACTGTTATTATTTCTTGATTGAACAGTAAATAATCCAGTTTTTCATACATAGATGACTCAGGATATTAGTTACCCAGAGCTAGCTGACAGTTGATCCCAAACTAATTTCCTTCTAACAGACAAAAAGTAACATGCTCAAATCAGACATGTTGACTTAGTTAAAATCCATTATGCAATTTTATATGTAATATTGTGATTTTTAGTCCTTCTCTTTTTGGAAAACTTTTAACAGGGAAAGTATCTTATTAACTTTTTACATGTACTGTAGCATAAAGGTTAATTGAGGTTTTTTATAAAGTGAAATGTCTACTAGTATGAGCCAAAGTTGACTCCTTTGTAACAGATAAATGACAAGTATGATTAATTCGTGAATAGTCAACGGATCCTACGTGAGAATGCTTGAATAGGTAACTTAGAAATAGCAGTAAAATATTTTTTCCTAAATGATGATCTTGGGCTCTAATTTTAAACTCCATGAGAGGTCTGTGATAATTAAGTTCCATAGGACATTTCCGTTGTTCCATTGAGTGGACTTCTGTTATACTTCATGCATTGCTAACCGAGTTAGAGAACAGAATGCACTACTAAACTGCTTTATTAATTATGAATTAAATAATCATTTATTGGGTGCCTATTACATGCCCATATCTGTGCTAATAAGTACATGAACGTAGAGAAGGAAAATATTATGTAGTTAATGCCAGAATAAAGGAAGTGTGGATCACAGAGTGGTACTTCTTCTGAACCAAGTAACTTCAAGTGGAATTTAACATTTTCTCATTTTTTATTTGTTAACTGACATTACTATAAATTATAATGTGATTCATAGAGTACGTTTGTATCCTTGAAATTGGATATAGGTTTCCTGAGCAGAAAGTTACTTGAGTATACAGAATCCTTCTTGGTGATGTTATTTGCTGTAATAATTTCTCCTAGATTATGCCTTGCAAATTATTCTGCTTTGAATTTAGTGTGTGTATAAGACTTACATGGTATTAATTAAACTTGTAACAATAAAATCCATTGGGTTTTAGTTGCCATTACCCAGGGAGGAGCAATACAGCTGGCTAACAATGGTACCGATGGGGTACAGGGCCTGCAGACATTAACCATGACCAATGCAGCTGCCACTCAGCCGGGTACTACCATCCTACAGTATGCACAGACCACTGATGGACAGCAGATCTTAGTGCCCAGCAACCAAGTTGTTGTTCAAGGTAAGAGAATTCAGAATTCACAGGTGTGGTAAATTCTTTGAAAAGTTAAAATTTTATAGACTCAGAAAAAGTAAGTATGATACTGCAAAAAGCACTATTAAAATATAGTTTATTTTTCTTCATTATAGATACTGTTTTCCATGAACTCTTCTTCCATTATTCCAATTGGACCAAAATGTCATGGCATAAAAACAACTATTTTCAGTTTTAAAAATATAACATCTATCTTTAACACCTTTAACATTTGGATATAGGAGAAATGAGGTAGGTTAGAGGGAAAGACAATAAAATTAGGAGTTAAAAAAAGATAGATTCTAAATCTAAATATATATAGATTCACTTTGTGACCTATGTGAGTAAGACCCAGCCTCCCTGGGCCTCATTTTTTTTCATGTGTCAAATGAAAAGTTGTACTAAATCACTGATAAGAATCTTTGGAGGTTCAAAATTCTGTTCCTCTGCTTTTAAGTCAAAAGAAATTTACATCTTCATTTGTAAGATCATCATTTTTTATTTCAAAGGATAGCATTATATTCTGAAAAATCTTATACCAGTGTGTAAGTCTCCTGGTCTATGAGCAAAAGTAGTTAAATCCATGGTGAATTACAGAAATAGCTTTTTGCTGTTTTGTTTTGTTTTAATTTTTTTGTTTTCTTCCTATTTGTTTCAGAAATCTTAATGGATGGGAGTTGACCATTTTTCTTTGAATTCACTTGAATATTTTAAGAATATGATTTATGCCACATTTAAAATTTGCATATTAAGGAAATAATAATAAATCTATTTCTAAAAATATTTTTATTAAAAATATGTTTTGCCTCTGTTAGGTAATGACAGATGTGGCCCTTCACCATGGATGATTAATTTTGAATAATTCTAAAACACCAACTAGAGAGTCATAATTTATTTAAAGGGCCCTAATGTATTTACAGAATATTTTCTGTTACTAAACAAATAATATTTGAAGAAGATAATATTTTTCTTATTAATGGGAGTAAAACAACTTTTCACTTTACATGCAGGTACTCAAAATTGTAAAGCAGGATGTCAGTGAATTTGAATTCTGAACGTCAGTTTGAAGATGGTAACATGTTTAGTATATAAATCTTTTCCACTCAAACTACACATTTTAATTGATATTAATAACAAATATGGATGATTTTATAAAGAGCTTCAAATTCTCAGATAATGTTAGGTTTCTTCTTCCTAGGAGGGCATATTATTAAGCTGTTTTTAGAAGCGATTTGACAAATAGAGACTTTCTTTTCACAAATGATGGATCATTTAGTTAGAAAAGTAAAACTTCAATTTGTTCAGCCGTTATCATTTACATTAAAACAATGCTTACAAGTAGTATAACTGGCATCAAATGGTACACTTTTTCATACTTTGTTTTGTTACAATTAGGAATTTATGATAGTTGACCATTGTGCTTTATTTTCTCTTCCATTTTGCTATTTTATGAAAAATCATGGTCGTTTTTATGTCGTGGCAAGAGTCTACTTGAAATTTTTTAATATGAATTTACCAATATCAAAGGAAGACATTGAGGACTATACTCTATCTAGGAAGATCATCCAGGCTGTGCCCCACTTACCTTTTAGACTTAAGGTTGGTAAGCATGTTAACAACAGAATAGAACTACGTTCCAATGAAAGATAAATATAAGACCCAGCAGACATAAGTTAAGACCTCTTTCATCCAAGTGACTATACTAATAAGTACATTAAATTGGGAATTAATTTCTGAGTAATGTCCCAAAGAGTGCTGATTCTTTCAACATTTTAGTCAGAATCATCTGTTCCTTTTTTTCCTTTTAATCGAAAATGTATGTTTAGATTGATGATTGACACGTAGTTTTACCAAGTCACAGTGCTTCAGTGTCTTACACCATGCTCACTATTTTTCTTTTCAGCTGCCTCTGGAGATGTACAAACATACCAGATTCGCACAGCACCCACTAGCACCATTGCCCCTGGAGTTGTCATGGCGTCCTCCCCAGCACTTCCTACACAACCTGCTGAAGAAGCAGCACGAAAGAGAGAGGTTCGCCTCATGAAGAACAGGTACATACATTGCATTTACTTATATTGCTGTAGGTCAGGCATATCTTCAGATTCTGCCAGATGTGTGTCTTTAACATCTGCTGACAATAGGATCTTTGCATTAAGATATTTTTCTGGTAAAATTGATGGATCTTGCTAAAACTTCTTTATTTAGCTTCTCATAAGCTGCACTTATGAGATGGCTAATGGGATTATGGGTCCATCTTTGATGATAGTTTTCTTTCATGCAATCTCCCCATGGGAGATTTAACGCACAACTTTGCTATGTTTTCACTATTGCTTCAACCAACTAACTAGGTTATTTAAAAGTTGTTTCTTTTCATGAGTAGTATTGTTAAGATTAAGAGTTTCATGTATATATATATTAAAATTAAGTGTTAAGTTTTATTTATATTAAATGTATTTGTAATAAGGTAAATGTATGATGGCCAGTCTAAGTTTTAATGCATATTATCTTTACTCAAAATAATAACAATTTAACACCTAAAGAAAGATTCTTCAAAAATAGATTAATGCCGAGAATATCTTATTATTGACAGAAATCTTAAAATAGAACTAGTCTTCAGCAATGAAAATGCTACATATCAAAAATTTATTAAATGTGGGAAAGTTATTCCCATAAAGTAAATTCATAGCTGTAAATGGCTTTGTCATCAAAAAAACGTAATAAACAATTTTATTTACTTATATTTACCTTAGTATTTTTATTTATTTAGCTTAGGATTTAAATATTTAGCTTAAGATATAGAAACGACCTAAGACAAACCAAAGAAAATGAAAATAAAGATATTAAAAGTTTGAAACAGTGAAAATATTCCACTGCTTTTCACCTCAAGATTCCTCAAATGCTGTGATAAAGTGAAAGAAACATAGAGGTTGAACTTAGAGGATGTGGATTCAAGTCCTAGATCTACCCCTTTTGCTGTGACTTTAGAAGAACATAACCTTCTAAACCTCAGTTTTCTCCTTTGTAAAACAGGATCCCCCTACCCACCCAGAGGGTTGCTCTGGGGGTCAAATATGTGGGTCAAGTAAGATAATTCCTTTGAAAGCACTTTGTAACTGCAGTGCTCTGTTGAAATGTCTGTTTTTGTGCAATTTCATGTTTCAGCTTAGATCAACCTCTTTTGTTCCTAAAATATTCCTAGCTGTTATAGAATGTTGGTGAATTACACCTAGGCAGAAATGGCACAGTTTTTTCCAGATTATTAGGAAAAGAGTTGGAAACAAGCTGAGTAACTTATTTCATTTGTGCTCCATCAATCTGTGATTTTTAAGTATTTAAGCTACAATAATAAACAGAAGCATAAAAGCTGTGTTTATATTTAAATGTATTTTAAAATATAAATTAAACTGTGTTTAAACTTTTTTAATGTTTGTAAGGAAATGTGTAAGCAACCCTTTTGAAAATTAGAAGCAAGTCTGATTAGAAGTCTCAAGTGAAGGCTAGGTTATTAAGTTTAAGACAACAGCATTTACTAAAGAAACCAGTTCTCATCAGACACAACAGAGCAGTCAGGTAAAAAATAACATCTCTTGATTATGAAAGCAACAAAGGACTTCAGATTATGTCTGTGTAGTTTGGCTCTATGGAACAGAAACATTTCCCCTTACACAGAAATCACTTAAGAAGCAGCTTAATTGTAGTGGGTGAGGAGGCAGCACTACAGCCTCTTGTCTGCTCTGGTGTAAAGAGGGCTGCCCATTTATGAAAGCACATTAATTTGATAGGCATACCAAATTCTCCTTTTCCTCTATTCGTGCGATTTATGATTCCCACCCCACCCCCCACCCCCCCCACACACACACACACCAGGCACATACACGCCAAGCTGGGGACAGGGAACACATAGCTACAGTTCCTAACAACCTCTGCTTGCCTGAGATATTCAGGGAAGCCACCTGACTTACTGTGAACTCTTTAAAAATAAAATACTTTGGCTTGGATTTAATTTCACTATAAGGAAACTTCCCATTGACTCTGGTATAGTTCCTTTTCCCTTTATTCCCAGATATCTGCTGCTTCTACTTTTTCAACTTCCATTCACTAGAATCTGGCTTCTGTGCCCACCATACCACTCCAGTGTCTATAAAAAGGTACAGATACCTTCCCATCTGGCAAATCTAGTATCCTCTTCTCATTTTATTTTACCTTTACTGGGCGTATTTGACACTTTTGACGGCTCATTTCTCTGAACTCTTCTTCGGCTTACTCACCTGGTTTTCTGACTACTTTTCAAATTTTCCCTTGAAACTTTCATCCATACCTATGTATTTCAGGCATCACCTATATGTTGATACCACCTAATTATATATATTCTGACTTTGACCTTTCCCTTGAGATATTATTTATTTAGGTCCTGGTATGTGCTGGACACGATACCTTGTTTCTTTACATATTTTATTAGTTCTGCCTACAATGAGAGAGAAGCTTATGTCCACTTTACAGAGGAGATATGGTTCAGAAAGAAGGTAAATATTTTGCCAAAGGTCACACCTTTTAAAAAATGGGTAGAACTGAGGTATGAGCCTTGCTCTGGCACCAAAGCCTGTGCACCTGCTACCTGTCAGATTCAACCATCATCTCCTGCTCTGCCTCTCAGACCAGAACACATGGCACTGTGCTGGAGATACGTAGCACCAAGAGGCAAACATGGAATGCTTTCCTTGAATATTTATTTGGCTCAAAAATTTGAGAGAAGAAACATTTTTAAGGTAAACTTAAAGATATAATTCACACCAGCAGCAGTTGCTTTGGACTGTGCTCCCATATTTAGTTTCCTCTGCCATTATGGTTACTTAGGTGGAAAAGTTAGAGAAGCACTCTCCTCCTGAACATGTTCACTAGGATAAATGTCCCTGTGTGCCTCAAACACAGCCTGTCTTCTAAACTTGGTAAGAAAAAGTTGTGATTCCCCAAATTCTATAACATTCAAATTGCCATTTACTCAAAAATGAAGATAGGGCTTCCCTGGTGGCGCAGTGGTTGAGAGTCCACCTGCCGATGCAGGGGACGCGGGTTCGTGCTCCGGTCCGGGAAGATCCCACATGCCGCGGAGCGGCTGGGCCCGTGAGCCATGGCCGCTGAGCCTGCGCGTCTGGAGCCTGTGCTCCTCAATGGGAGAGGCCACAACAGTGAGAGGCCCGCGTACCGCAAAAAAGCTCAGTGTCTTAGAACAACAGGGACTTCCCTGGTGGCACAGTGGTTAAGAATCCACCTGCTGGGCTTCCCTGGTGGCACAGTGGTTGAGAGTCTGCCTGCTAATGCAGGGGACATGGTTTCGAGCCCTGGTCTGGGAGGACCCCACATGCCACGGAGCAACTGGGACCGTGAACCACAGCTACGGAGCCTGTGCTCCACAACGAGAGGCCGCAATAGTGAGAGGCCCGCGCACCGCGATGAAGAGTGGACCCCGCTTGCCACAGCTGGAGAAAGCCCTCGCAGAGAAACGAAGACGCAACACAGCAAAAATTAATTAATTAACTCCTACTCCCAACATCTTCTTTTAAAAAAAAAAAAAAAAAAAAAACACCCCCCCTGCCAATGCAAGCAAGACGGGTTTGATCCCTGGTCCAGGAAGATCCCATGTGCCGCAGAGCAACTAAGCCCATGCGCCACAGCTACTGAGCCCACGTGCCACGGCTACTGAAGCCCGCACGCCTGGAGCCCGTGCTGTGCAACAAGAGAAGCCACCGCAATGAGAAGCCCGCACACCTCAACAAAGAGTAGCCCCTGCTCGCCGCAACTAGAGAAAGCCCGCGCACAGCAACAAAGACCCAACGCAGCCATAAATAAATAAATAAATTTATTTATTTATTTTTAAAAAAACCAACAACAACAAAAATTTCTTCCTCACTTACATTACATTTTGGCAGCTGCAAGTCATGCTATGGCTCTCCTCCACATGCTCCCAGCCAAAGGAGCAGCACCTCTTTGAGTCCTGTCATTATTGTAGCAAAGGGAAAGGGGAAATGCTTTTTGAAGCACCTGCTTGATTGTAGTGAACATCATGTCCACTCGGGTACCATAGGCCAAAGCACAGGCTAGGACAAGCCCAACATCAGTGAAATGGGAATGGTGTGCTCTTCCCACAGGGAGGGAGGAGTAAAAAATTACGGAAGCAACACAACCCAGCACCTCTGTCTTACAATTTTAGAGTGCAGGAAGAATTTAATAGGTTTCCTAAGAGCAGAAGTAATGAAGGAAAAGGCTAAGTAGGCTTGACCATCTAAAAATATGAAACCTCTGATTAGCCACGGAAAAGGTAAAGTAGCAAAGCAAACAATAAACTAGAAACATTTTAACAAAGTCAGGAGACTTATAAGGATATAAATAAGTAGATTCAAAGAAAATGAATTAGAAATGGGGTAAAAAAACTGAAAATTCAAACCAGTTAAAGTGTATGCTATATAAATTAAGGTACATCCTTTCAACTGTATAAAACCAACTGTTAATAATGAAGATGCTTTTTTATTGAGATGGGAAGATGTTCATAGTGGAAAAGAGCAGGTTACCGAAGAATACGTATTATCCCATTTTTATTTATTTTTATTACAGAAGTAAAACATGCTCATTATAAGCACATTAGAAAACATAAGCTACAATATTTACTCAACACTAATTGTGCCACCCAAAATGTTAACATTCTGGAGTATAATTTTTTTCCCCTAATATATATGTGCAAAGATAAATAATATGTTTTTAGTATACAGTTTTTTTATTTTGAAATAATTTTAGCTTATGGGAACAGTTATAAAAATAGAACAGAGTTCCAGATACTCTCTATCCACCTTTCTATAAGTTTAGCATACTACATAACCAGGCTGTGTTTGTCAAAACTTAAGAAATTAACATTCTGTCATATACTATGTATAGTAATTAACATAGTATTTTTTATAGTGGTATAATAATATTAACTGCACTGTCCATTTTATTTGAATTTCCTCAGTTATTCCACTTCTATTCCTTTTCTCTTCCAGAATCCAGTCCAGGGTACCAC